CTACCTTATCAAATGCTTTACTGAAATCTAAGTATATTACGTCCACTGTGTTTCGCTGTCTACTTTATTGAAGAATGAGATGAGATCGGTTTGGTATGATCTGTTTTTAACAAACCCATGCTGGCTACTAGTTATGATTTTGTTTGCTTCTAGTTGTTCGCAGATCTGTTTTTTGATTATCTTTTCTAGGATCTTCCCAGGTTTTGATGTTAAACTGATTGGTCTGTAGTTTCCTGGGTCCGTTTTTTCCCCTTTCTTGAAGATAGGAACCACATCAGATCTTTTTTTATTGTCCTTGATTTCTGTTGCAAGTCTTTGTTCATTCTGAGCCTTTGCTTTCCTGACTTCATCTTTGCATGTTCTGGCTGTCTGCTAATAATTGGCTTTAGTTATGTATCCCCCATTTTTTGTATTTGTCATTTTTCTTTTAGTTTGTTACAGAGATCTTTGTACAGCCATGTTGGTTTCTTCTTGAATGTCTTGTTTTTCTTTCTCAGTGGTATTGTGGTGATATGGGCTTTTATGATCGCATTTTTCAGGGTTTCCCATGCTTTCTTTACTCTTCAGGATTTTCATCCATGGGGTTTTTCCTAGGTTCTCTCTGAGTTTGTTAAAGTCGGCTCTTTTGAAGTTTAGGACATTGGTTGGATTGTTTTCTATTGCTATTGTTTGCATTATATTAAGTTCCAGTATGACGTGGTCACTTTCGCCCAAGGTTCTGGTAATTTTGATTCCCTCTATCACTTCTTCTCTGTTTGTAAGGATTAAGTCCAGTATAGCTTTATGTCTAGTTCCCTCCTCCACCTTTTGGGTGACAAAGTTGTCGGCTAGGTTGGTTAGGAATCTGCTTGATCTCCCACTCACTGCAGAGTTTGTCTCCCAGTTGATATCTGGATAGTTGAAGTCTCCCATTACTACTGTGGTATGCTTCCTACATGCATTTGTTAACTATTTGGCAAAGAGTTCATCTATTTTTTTCTGATTGGTTGGGTGGCCTGTAATATACACCTATGGCAAAGTCACTTTTTCCCCCTTTTATATTGACCCATATATATTCTGGAGAGATTCTATCTTTGATGATGTGCATTCCTGCAGATATGTAGTGTTCTCTTACATATAGTGCAACTCCCCCTCTTCTTTTTGTAGATTTGTTTCTTTTGAACAATTTGTATCCATCCATCAGTCCATTTCATTCATGGGTTTCATCCCACCATAGTTTCTGTAATGCCAACTATGTCATACCCATCCTCGTGTACTATTGCTTCTAGTTCGCCCTGTTTGTTCCTCAAGCTTTGAACAGTTGTATATAAGCATTTAAGACTTTTATGCCTGTCCATGGGAATGTTTCCTATATCTCCTGGTTGTTGTATTTTCTTTTTTCATCACTGCCTACCTCATTGTTTGATTTGTTTTCTTGGGATTTGCGATTGGTTTTGGGTTCTAGAGATTGATCACCCTCCCCCCTCGGTTTTAGTTTAAAGCCCTCCTGATGAGTTGGGCCAGTTTTTCCAAGTACATTCTTGCCTGTTTTCGTGAAGTGTAGCCCATCCCTTGCCAAGAGTCCTTCCTGTAGGAAATACAGTCCATGATCCAGGAAACCAAAGTTTTCTTGGTGACACCAACCCTTTAGCCAATGGTTTATTTCTAAAATTCTTTTTTCCTCAGTGGGTGTTGGCCTTTTGTGGGGAATACTGATGAAAACACTACTTGTGCTCCTAGTTTCTTGACTTAATTGCCTAGTTGTTACATGCATGTATCATATACAGCAGTTCATATGTGAGATACAATGTACTTCCATATGAAAAAAAAAGATGCAATTTCAGAATATAAATGTTAGTGAGACCATTGTAGTTATAATCCTTCCTATATTGGTAGCATTTTTGTAAATCATATAACTTCGATGGGGCCTCAGATTTAGAATTTGACACATATACTTCACTGAATGACTATAACAAAGCTGATAAGAAGTTTTTCATATTTATACAGTTGTCAGAGATTACAATTTAAATATGTATCAAGGGTGAGAGATCTGTAGCTGTTTAGGTAGTTCCAACATCTTTTACCATAAGCTTTTTGGAGGGATATTTGTTGGCAACAGTAGTCCAGTGATACCTGAAGTGATATTCTCACTGATGCACAAAACTATGTTCAAGCCATGTGGTTTTTATTGTCCTCACAAAAGAAACCAAAGGGAAAGTAGCAATCAACCAGGTCATAATTGTCTCATAGGTGCTTTTTCAAAAGGCAGCTGGATTGTTTTTTTCCTTGAGGAAGAATAATAAAATGTTTTGTTTCTCATCAGTTTTCATCACAACTGAAAAAACACCTTTGAGATAATAGCTATGACAGCCTGAATAAAAATTGTTTAGGAATTAAGATTAGATACCTGTTGTTATTTAAATTTGAAAACATGGATATTTTTCAACATAAAAACTCTAGTGTGAAAAACATAACTCTGTGGGTCGCAACCCTTTTGGGGGTCGCTCAAGCCTTTCACAGGGGTCGCCTAAGACCATCAGAAAACACATATTTCCGATGGTCTTAGGCAGGGCTTGTCAACCGCCTTCTCTCCCTCCCCCCTTCTGGAAAATATGCTGCTTGGGGGCAGTCTGCACGAACACTACCAAATGTGTCCTGCAAGGGGCGCATGAAGAGCGCAGGCACAGAGTAAGGCCCCGCCCTCCCCAGAGACTCATTGTGCAGCAACCGGATTGACTTCTTCTCGTGCACTCAGGACAGCCAAGGGGAGGCCACGCAGCACCCAACTCCTGCACCCTTCAGCTGGCGACCCCTGAACGTGCGCTTGTCAGCCAGGAGGTCTGGCGACAGCTGCAGGTCTCCTTTGCCACCCCGCTGGTCCTCGTCTCCTCCGCCCATTCATGTTGAGCCCGCCGGGGCTTGACAGGGAGAGAGGGAGGGAAGGAGGGACTCCTCTTCCTCTCCTAAGCTTTGATCGGCTTCCCAAGGGTGCCACAATCCTCACGAAAGTGGGGGGGGGAAGGAAAGGGGGCGAGAAAGCTCGTGGCAGATTCGAAGCAGCACGTTAGCATTGGTGATGAGAAATTCCCCACAAACCCAGGGAACAGGTGGAGAAAAAGAGCCCCCTTTGGGAGGAAACTGCCACCTTCTTCTCCTTGGCTTTGCACTCTTGTTTCTTGGCAGCCGGGTTGGCAAGCTTCTCCTGGCTGGAACTTCCTTTCCTTCCCTTCCTCTTGGTCTCTTCCTCCTTTCCTCCATCTCCCATTGTCCCTTCCTTCCTTTCCTTCGCCTCCCTCTTTGTCCTTCTTTCCCTCCCTCTCCCCCTTGTCCCTTCCGTCCTTCCTTCTTGCCCAGGATCAGGGTGAGCCTCTACAGCTGATCCGCGCTTCTGCAGCTGTAGCTGCTCTCCTTGACTCCTGCCGAGCAAACTTGCTCGAGCTTTGATAGAAAACTAGCCACTTGCTAATTTAGCAGAAGCGCAAATCAGCTGTAGCCCGGCGCTGATCCTGGAGCTTCTGCTAGCTTAGCAAGCGGCACATCTTTCGGCGAAGCTGAGCAAGTGAGCTGGGCAGAGCTCTCCTGTCTCTGCCTGTGCAAAGGCAGGTTTGCCGGCAGCAAAGCCCCCAGCCACGCTGGCAGCCTATCCCCCTCCCTTTGTCCCTTCCTGAGCAAGGGGGGAGGTGGGAAGGAAGGAACGAAAAGGGATGGAAGTAAGGAACAATGAGAGAGGGAAGGAAGGAACAATGGAAGGGAGGGAAGGGAGGGACAAAGAGGAAAGGAAGGAAGGAAAGAAGGAAGGAAGGAAGGGACAAGGGGAGAGAGGGAGGGAAGGAAGAAGAGACTAAGAGGGAGGGGAAGGAAAGAAGGGACAATGGGAGAGGGAGGAAAGGAGAAAGGGACTAAGAAGGAGGTGAAGGAAAGGAAGGAAAGAAAGAAGGAAGGGACAATGGGAGAGAGGGAGGGAAGGAGGAAGAAACTAAGAAAGAGGTGAAGGGAAGGAAGGAAGGGACAATGTGGGAGAGGGAGGGAAGGAGGAAGAAACTAAGAAGGAGGTGAAGGAAAGGAAGGAAGGAAGGGACAATGGGAGAGAGGGAGGGAAGGAGGAAGAGACTAAGGGAGGAGAAGGAAAGAAGGAAGGGACAATGGGAGAGAGGGAGGGAAGGAGGAAGAGACTAAGAGAGGGGAAGGAAAGGAAAGAAGGAAGGAAGGGACAATGGGAGAGAGGGAGGGAAGGAGGAAGAGACTAAGAGAGGGGAAGGAAAAAAGGAAGGAAGGGACAATGGGAGAGGGTGGGAAGAAGAGACTAAGGTGAAGGAAAGGAAGGAAAGAAGGAAGGAAGGGACAATGGGAGAGAGGGAGTGAAGGAGGAAGAGACTAAGGGAGGTGATGGAAAGGAAGAAAAGAAGGAAGGGACAAGGGGAGGGAAGGAAGGCAGGCACCCACCCCAGTCCCACCCCAGAGACCCACAGATTCCCCCCTGCAGGCACTCTGCAACCTGAATGATCAGCTGGCCGTGCCCCCTGGCGATTGATCACGTGACCCTGGGACACTGTGAATGTCATAAGTATGAATCAGTTGTCAAGCATCCGAATGTAAATCACATGACCCTGGGGATGCTGCAACAATCATAAGTGTGAAAAATGATCATTAATTCGCTTTTCCAGTGCTGTTGTAACTTCTAGTAGTCACTAAGCGAATTGTTATAAGTCGAGGACTACCTATACTTTCCCATTTTTTCCTCTTTTTTTGGTCAAGTTTTTGATCCCCTGGCCAGCTGGATGGGGGGTTGGGGGTCACCACAACATGAGGATCTGTATTAAAGGGTCGCGCCATTAGGAAGGTTGAGAATCACTGCTCTATTGCAAAGTAGAAGGGGCAATTTCAAGGGCAGAAGATGAAATCAAGTGCAGTTAACCAACTAGGCTACAATGTCATGTTAGACAAATAGATATAAAAATTAGACAAAATGTATGATTTTGTGTATATTTCTTTACAAACACATAAATAAATGCTGTATGCCATTTATTCAACAGGCTGTTCTTTATTCTGTTTTTATATTAATATTAAATGAAATAAAATAAATATTAAATTGCTTACTTTTTTTTAATGTATAACAGAGAAACACTGTGATCTCTTGGGGGGAAAAAGAAAGGTTTCGAAAGTCCAACTTTTTTCTTTTTTATTCATTAATTAGCTCCATGGGTTTTAGTAGTTCACAACTGTGATACAAACATCAAAACTAAAAAAATATTTTAAAAGGCTAAAATTTGAATTTTTAAAAATCAGGCTGACCCATAGACATTATTTGGAGCATGCACACAGTGGCACTTGTAATTATAGTGTTGCGTACTGAGCAAACAATGTGTTCCACAAAATTATTTGTTATTTAACAATTTGCATGAAAGAAATGGTTGAAAAATTCTAATAATTATTTATTATCATACATTTTAACACATGAACACTTGCAGAACAAATAAAGCATGCTGTAACTGAGGAAATATGTCAGTTCAAAATATTAGAAAGAATCTGATTTGTCTGAAAACATACACTGTATTAAGGGGCAGCACTTTAGCCCTGTAGTATGGAAATCCACAACTATCAGTAGTTCAAATTGTTTTAATTGTGAAGGAAATATAGTAATTTCATGTATTCTAAGACAATGCCCTGATCTTGAAAACAGAAAGGAATTTAAAAATGTATTGATTGTATACTATAAATTAAGACTGTGTTTATAGGATTATATACTCTTTAAAAACCTAATGTTTCATTTATTTTTAGAAATTCTGATCAGCCTCTGCCTCAAGACTGATCATAATTATAATTATGTTCTAAATAAAGTTGATTCTGAACATTCAAAATTCATTAACCAAGTAATTAATATAATAATAATAGAATAGAATAGACGTGGTATAAGATTGAAATGTAAAGTCCTTGGTGCTCTCTGAGCTTTGTTGTTTGCCTGTAGACAAGAGTAGGTTTGCCCCATTCACATTCCTCACACTCACTAGCATTAATGATGTTACTTAGATGGGTAATGAAATGTCTGCAAACAACCAACCAAGCTCAAAGCACACCAAGAACCCCATAACAATAATAATATATTTAAAACTATTTTTAAACTGAGTGTGGTTCCATTACCACATATTTTTCTCAGTAACAATATGATAGTATTGAAATTATCTTCTTCCATTTTTATTTTCCAACTTCCCAGACTAACTATAGCCTTTCTTGGTGGTCTATCATTCAAATATTAACAAGATGATTTTTCAAGATTGGCTAACTGCTGTCATCTTCTCGATTTTAAAAAATGATGATTTTCCACTAATGTTTTCTATTATAGTCTCAAAAATGTTTTGAACATCAAAATGTTATTATGCATCTATTTATAAATGGCAAAATATTGTTTTTGCAGTCATATTTCTATTAATTATTACTTCATCAATATATGAGTATTCATAATTAGAGTTAAATAAGGAGTCATGGGATAGAGAATATTATGTTAACTTAATAACTGTTTAAAAAAAATGGAGAGTTCTCAAAAAAGGGATGTGAGAAGGAGGGACTCTCCCAAAATCTATTTATTGTAATTTTGCTTTTTAAGCTAAAGGACGTGTGTTTAACAATTTTCCCTCATTGTCACAAATACTTCAGCAAACAATAATGGGCCCCACTGAACATTTTCTCCATTTCATTTCCACTTTAAAATGAATTATATGGTAAAAAATAAGTAAGGTAGCATCACACAAATTCTTAAAATTGCAATTTATTCCCCACCCAAGAATTCAGGATATTCCTTCAATAGCAAATTAACAAAATTATATTCACTTGAGGAAAAAGGTAAGACAACCATACCACCAGATTACACCAATGAAAAACAAGAAGTCTTGTTTAATTGGATAGTGCAAGTTAACAGCATGTTGCTGGTATTGACAACACTTTCATTTGTTTAGAAAAGGTTTACATCAATTTGCAGCAAGAAAAACTTTGGAAAGATGCTGTCCAAAAGTGGCCCACACATATTTACAAACCCCAGGGAGCACAGAAAAACAAGATATTATTCAAAATAAAACAAACAGAATTTAAGAAAATATAGGTTTCCTATTTCCACCCCACAGGAGTTAGAACTGCTGACTGAATGTTGTTTTCAAGTCTTCAGAGTTCATCCTTTTCCCGCAATAAAGTGTATCTATGTCCACTAGGTGCTAGCTTCTGAAATGAACTCTCTGGTGGGCTGCTTACTATGTCCTGGAGTGGCTGAAAAGAATAAAACAATCTTCTAGAACAAGTGATAAACATTAAAGATAAAAGATTCAGACACAGTACCAATTAATTGTGGTATCAACATAATAATATTGCTAAGTGTAGGCTAGTCCAACAAATGCTTGCCTTAGGCAAGTCACCTTTTCTGTGTTATTTTATCACAGGCAAACCTGAAATGCAATTTCATAGTCAACTGACACCTTATTCAACTTGAACAAAAAGGGGATGTGATACATCACAAATTAAATTGTTTTGGAAGCTCTTTAATTCCTGCTAATAATTAGTTTAATATCCTTTTGTAATAATAATAAGTCATTAAGTCTCCATATTTGATCTACGAGTTCATCTGCTTAGCCTTACAATTATTAGATTATTAACCATGTAAGTAAGAGCTGCCACCTCCAGGTCTATAAAATTTATTAACAATGAACTAGAAATCCAACACATATCTATCTTTCCATTATTTTAATGAACTGAAGAATAGTAGGTATATTCTTTCTCTGCAGAATAGTTATATCTCCACATATCCAAGAGAGATAACAATGACATAAAAGTACAAATTTCAATCATATTCTTCACAACCGCCTCACAGAATACATGCCCTCTTGTTGGAGAAGACGAAGCCAGAATAGGGCTTAATTAATATTAACTTTTCTTTTTCTCCAGTGGTCTTTTACCTTATTCACTGAGTAGATGGTATCCTGAATCTTTTAATTTCTTTTATTTTGAATATTCTGGAATATTTAGGGTTTTTTATATGTATCCTTTATCAATTGTATTTTGATTTTTAGCTTTTCTGACACCACTTACTAACTTTTCCTTCCTACTTCCCTTTTTGTGTTCAGATTTCACTGAACTTTTTATGTGACCAACATGAGCTTCCTGTGCTGTTTTTATTTTTCCCACTAGCTTCTCCTGTCATGGAATCCAATTTAACAGTAAGATATTAAAATCCATCTTCTTGAATGGATGCTAAACAATTGATATACAGATGGTTACAAGCAGAAAAGGAGCAAAAGAGCAAAATAATTACTTACAGCAAAAAAACTCTCTGGTTTGTTATATATTTATTGTCTGAATTAAAACCTTACATTTCTACCCAAAGGGCATTCAAGATTACCCTCTATTTTTAGAATAAAGTGCTGCTAAGCATGACTGAGCTCAGGTAAAGCTCTGACAAATAAAGTCTGGTGTAGGCTGGTACTCAGAGTTGCTAATTGAACATTTTGTGATAATTGTTATGACTGTGAGAATAGGTTTCCTGGGACGCTGTATCAACTGGGTTCCAAAGAACTCCTTAGCCCCATATGGAAGAAAAGCAAATAGAATGAGGCTATTTGGAAGACTGATCCTGATGTTGTCTTAAAACATTGTTACTAGCTTTTAATTGACTAGATGTTGATTTCCAGGAAACATTTTTGTTCTGCAAGCATTGAAATAACTTTTTTTTTCCATTTTAGAACTCTGACAAGCAATGAGAAGAAAGCAATAAAATAGAAAGTTAGTTGTTTTAAAACCTAAGTGGAGAGCTAGAACTACAGCTTTGAGGAGAGAGAGATTTTGTTCTAGGCAAAAAAGTGGGAAGATATACTAGGAATCAACAGATGCATATATTTAAAAAATATGTCAGATGCATGTACTGTATGAGTTCAAAATGATATAAATATATTTCCTTCTCCAATTTGTCTACATCAATGATAAAAACTGGCTTAAGAAACACTGATTGAGTCAAAATCATATGGTGAATTATACCATTAAGTATGGACTTGGATTTGCTCTACTTCCATCACTATAACCCTGAAGGTTTCAAAATAGTTACAATTTTTTCTCTGGTAAAAAAATCAAGGAAGAAGAAGAAAGGAAGATTGTGATTGGAGGTATTATTGGAAGAATCTGCTGAATGAAAGTTAAATCCTATCAGGAATCAAAGTGACATAGGATTATATCAAGAATTATTTCAAATCTTGCTGAGAAAAAAAGCAAGCAAACAATTATTTGCCCTTAATTATTATAGGCTGTGCGATGCTTTAGACTTGAAGCCTACAAAAGTTTAGAACACTTGAAGTTATTCATGTAGCATCTGTCAACAACTCATTAAAGAAGCGGTTTCCCTGTAAAGTGACATTGGGGAAATATATGCTTGCTTTAGAAAACTGATGTCAAGTTCTACAGGTATGCTGACCCATATTCCAAAGCATTACAGGCTGTACTAACATTTATTTCCTGAGCTGCCTAATCCTATCCTGCTCTATTTTTGAAATTTATCCAGCTTTCATGTGAGAAATTAAAATTTTACTTGGACATTACAAAATTCCAATGTTCTCTTAATGTAGATGTATTGGAATACTTTGTTTCTTACCTGACCAGGTGCTATATCTGTTGGATCTGGACCATGATGAAACTCTCTGTGCAATTTCCCAGAGTGTAAATCTAGTACAAATTGCTTGAGTTTACCAGGAACACTGCAATGATATATCACATTTTAAGTAATATTAAACACTGCACTTTAGATAGCATAAGATCCAACTCAAAATACCATATAATAAAGATTAGATATACCGTATTTTCTGGCATATAAGACGACTGGGCGTATAAGACGACCCCCAACTTTTCCAGTTAAAATATAGTTTTGGCTACACTCGCTGTATAAGACTACCCCTCTTCCAACGCACACCAAATAAAAATTAAAAGACATCAGATTTGATTTCAATATGGTAATTTTAATTCAAATGCTTATGACATGCGGGTACTTAGCAGGAAAACTGTCACTTATAAACATAAGGCGGTTTGTCATCAAACATGTAAACATAAAACAGTGCAAGTAGATTAAATTTTTCCTAATTCACTCTAAAGCTGAAAGGAAGGATAAGACAATAAACCCACGGGAGCTGCCATGCTGTTTGTTTTCTAAGCTGTCAACCAAACTGGAACTGATGATGATAGGAGGAAGATAACAAACAATAAAGAGAGCAAGTGCCGGGCAAGTCCCTGGCGAGTCAGCAACGCCCATCATAACTGCAAGCTATTTTTACAGGTTTTGTGGCGTGACAGTTTCCCTTTAAAAGCCTTCAAAATCATCCTGTTCGTCATCTGATATCATAAGCACATCAATGCCATCTTGTGATACATTTGTAAGGCAGTCATCGTATGGATCAAATTCCGTATCAGATGGTGTGGTCTCAGCTTTGGCTTCCTCTTCATTTTGCCACAAGTAGTCGTCCTCCATACCATCTAATGAATTTGATATGCCACACTTCTTGGAAGACTTGATTACTGTTTCTGCATCAATATCATTCCAGGCTTTTATGACAAACTTGCACAAAACATCCAACTGTGGAGCAAGCATGTTTCCTCCTTTTGTGAATGACTTTTCGCCGCTAACCATCCATTCATTCCACTGTTCTCGGATGCAATCTTTAAATGGCTTGTTTAAGCACACATCCAGCGGCTGTACCAACAATGTCAATCCTGCAGGAATAACTGCCGCTCTGTGTTTATTTTTGCAAGCCCTTGCTTGGTGCTGGGAGTTAAATGAGCCCTGAACATATCCCACACCAGTAGACTACGTTTTTGAATAAGTCCACCTGGTCGCCTGCTCCATACATTATCAAACCATAGCTTTAACCCTTCTTCATCCATCCAGCCTTTTTCATTCACATGTACAAAACAACCAACAGGGAACTTGAGTTTCGGCATTGTTTCTCTTTTAAAAATAATCATTGGTCTCAGTTTGGCACCATCAGCTGTGCATACTAGTACCACTGTAAAACTGGACTTCTCATGTCCTGTTGTTTTAATTAAAATTGTTTTTTCATCTTTTTGATGGATAGTTTTATTTCCAACCATATCAAAATTCATTGGAGTTTCATCCATATTTCCAATACTACTTAATGCATAGCCATGTTTAGTGCGCTGTTGTATTATGTATCAATGGAAACTATTTACTTTGCTATCAAGATCTGCAGGTAATTTTTGTGCAATTTTCATCTTTTGCCTCAGTACCATATTATGCCTTCCCAAGAATCTAGTACACCAGGATACAGTGGCCTTAAATCTGTTGCTGTGATCTGGGTTAGATTTGGCCCACTGACGTGCAAACAAACCGTTTTGGCAATGCTCATTCACCATGTCTGCTACATGTTTTTCGAGTTCTGGCCAATGTGAGGTGCCTCTTCTTAATGCAACTTACCCCTTGGCATACTCTTTAATGCTTTTTCATTTGCTTTCCAGTCCCAAACCATCTTTTCTGTTACTCCATATTGTCTTGCAGCAGCGCAGTTATTATGTTCCATGGCAAAGTTTACAACTTTAAGTTTGAAACTGGCTTCATATTTTCTTCTTGCTGGAGGAGCCATGATGGGGTCTTGACTGTTGGACATTTGTATACTGTACTGTATGTACTGGTGCTGTACTGTATGAACTGGTACAGATACTGGTGCTGTATTGTATGTACCCAATATACAACAACCAGCCAATCATGGCAAGCAATGTACCTTACCGGTGATTGGCTGGTTGTTGTATACAAAGCCTGCTTGGATTGGATGGGTCAGCTCTCCCTGCCTGCCTAGCCCTCCCTGTCTCCAAGACGATCCGAGCGGTAGTGCAATGTGATAGAGAGCAGGGAGAGGGGGCTGCTTCAAGGGAGTCTGTCACCTGATCTGAGTGTTTTAGACCGCTCAGATCAGGTTATAGACTGCTTTGGCCACATTCCAAAAGTACCATACTTTTATTAGTGCTGTCCCTTGCCGAGATCTTCCCAAAAAGACTTATGATGAGCTCTGGCAAGTGTCCAGGAGCAGCGTTAGTGCAGCAAGAGCGGCGCTGTGCCCAGAAAAACACCTTGTGTCCTGCTCTCTATTCCCTCCTTTCTCTGTTTTGGAAACTTCCGTGCAGCTTTGTGGATTGTGCAGAAAAGAAAAAAAAGGGGGGGAACCACCCCATCCTGTGTTGTCCATTTATGCAAATATACCAGCCTTGGTAGTTGCTTGGAGACGAACACACTCAAATCTTCCGGATTGGCACCATCTAAGCCGCTGCTGCTTGCTTGATTCCTCTCCCTGGCCCAAAAAAATCGTCTTCATCCAGCCCCCGAGTCCCCCCACCACCACTCTTTTTTTTCTTTTACTGCTCCCTCTCCCGCACCCCAATTGGTCTTTTTATGAAGGAATTTTTAATAGGCACTTTTTATATTAAAAGAAACCAATATATTGAGTGACGAGGTGCTTCTGTTAGCTGTTTGGTTGGACACTGCTTGGAGGACCTCGGGTGGGGCAAAGGGGGGGAGGGCTTTGCAGCGAAGGCTTGGCAGGGGCGCTGCTGGCAGGGCGGGACAGGCAAGGCGGCTGCGTGGCTCGCTCTTGGCTGCGCTCCGCAACAGCTCCAGGGGAATCGAGCCCAGCTTCCTGGTGCTGGCATCCAGGAAGCCGACGTGGCTGAGTTTGCGCCACGACAGAAAACTAGCTAGCCACCGTGGCAGCCTTCGTACGTGGGGTGGCTGAACGCGGGGCCGAGATTTGGGCTGCTTGTAAGACAGTGCCCCTGAAAAGCAGAGCCTCTCTTTTCCCCCGTCAACACTCCTGCTCCAAAGCTTCCGACCCCTCAATTCTAGCAAAGCGCTGCCTGCTTTCCTTTTTTCTCCTCCTTTCCCTTGGTCCTAACTCAGTTCGGCGGCGGGATGGATGAGATTTCTCCTGGCCTGCATTTCAAAGGCGTTTGGTGATTAGATGCACAACGACGCCCACAATTGGGCCACAAGGCAGAGGAGGCAGAAAGAATTCGGGCAAGCGGTGTTTTGGAGGTCAGGCCTGGGCTTGGTTGGGCCCTCATGGGGCACAATTAGGGGTGGCTCCACGGAGTCCCGGGCACCTGACTCACAGAGAAAGCCGGCCGGGAGCCCACAATTAGCGGGCCCACCAGGAGGCAGCTGATGTGGACACCCCTGCGGCGGTCAGGTGGCCCCCAAGCTGGATGGGATTCCTGGCCATCCAGCCATGGGGCGGGAGCAGCTCCCTCGCTGGGGCTGCTCAGCCTCCCCGGCCGGCCGGCTATTCCGGCCTTTCCAGGGCCAAATCCTGCAGGAGGGTGAGCCGGGCCAGGCTGGGTGGCAGGAAAGGAGGCGCACTGCAATTCTCACACCCCCAATCCCGGTCCAGAGGAGCGCCCTGGCCCGGGTGGACGGGGGGCTGGGAGGGGGAAGCTCCTTCCGATGCCCAGAAAGCAGCGCTTCCTCTCTTGCTCTGGGCATGGGAATATGGGCAGAGGTCCCGGGAAGGCCAAGTATGGGGGGGGAGAGGAGGAAGCAGAAGGTACCCAGGACACCATGAACCGGACTAGGGAGATGCGTTTCAGCACCCGCCCTATAAGATGACACCTGACGTATAAGACAACCCCCAACTTTTGAGAAGATTTTCATGGTTTAGAAAGTCGTCTTATACGCCAGAAAATACAGTAAAAATCATCAAATCATCTCAATCATTAGTCAGCCTCATGATCATTATAAGAGCTACAGTAGCAAGTATATACATAATTAAGCCTAGAGTAGGCTCATTTAGAATAGAGTAGAGTAGAGTAGAGTAGAGTAGAGTAGAGTAAAGTAGAGTAGAGTAGAGTAGAGTAGAATAGAATAGAATAGAAGCTGGAAGGCTTCTAGTCCAGCTCAAGCAGGAGAACCTATACAATTTCAGACAAATGACTGTCTAGCCTCTTCTTAAAAATCGCCAGTGAAGGAGCATCCATGATTTCTGAAGGTAAGGTGTTCCACTTGTTAATTGTCCTCATTGTTAGGAAGTTTCTCCTTAATTCCAGGTTGCTTCTCTCTTTGATCAGTTTCCAACCATTGTTTCTTTAAACATTGTCAAGGAAATTAAGTCACCATTCTTTATATCTCAATATGGCTTTTAATTTAAAAATTATTTAAAAGCAGGCAAATAGAGGGAATTGAGTACCTCCATTGGAATGCTATTCCATAGTTTAAACAAAGGAGCAGGCAAGTCTTTACACTAAATTCAAAAGATTAGCTCAAAATCTAAACAAAAATATTAACCTTTCTTAATTCATATTAATGACATTTCACATATTCAAGATATTTTTAGGGTTAATAATGCAGGATCAGGAACTGAATTATAACTGGGAGACAAATTATCCTACTATCTCTTTTTTCTTTTGTGATTGCCTAAAAGCATGGCAGCATTTTGCCTCTTTATTAATTCCCATAGAGCTTGCTACCTTCAACTCCTTGCTCACCACAATACTGCAGAGAACATTAGGTGCCAAATGCAGAGTTTATAAAATACAAATGGCTATCTGTAAGTTATATTGATAAAAATGTTTCTGAAAGCTCTTCTGCTTAAGTAATTGCAAGAACAGAAATGAATGTTAAAAGGACATCAATTTAAATTTCCTCTGAGATAATCTATTTTTTCCATACACTAAAGACTATGTGAAGATAGAATTGTAACTGCCAGAATTTCAAGAATAAAAAACTCAACTATAAGTATAAAAAAAACAAAAATTAATCAGAACAAATTATCAAACCAATCCACAAACCCCTTCTTTGATGTGTGCAAGCCTTCCTGCTTCAGTGTAACCTTTCCAAAGAATTTTAAAGAAGAAATGGCATACTCAAAGTTCAGCACCAATCTCCAGAATTATCTTTGATTTTAACAAATTTTTCTGTGAAGCTTTGAAGCCATTCTTGCAAAATAAATATGGTAGCTACTTCTATCTACTGCTTTGTTTAGAAATCTGCTCAGAAAAATAATTATGAAGATAGAACAGTATAGATGTGATGGCATATCCTTTGAGAGACTAAAGGTGGGGACCTGGGAGTAGTTGGAAGCAGCTTAAAGTGATTCTCCTCTGTAAACTCAAGTTTTGTGACTGAGCACAATGGTGGACTGATATGTTCATTTGCAGATGAATGCAGAATTGTTTTCTATAATTAATGTACAGTACAAGTAAATCCAAGACTTACGAACGGTCTTTTAGACTTTAAAATTATACCAGGCCTGAAACAGAGTCTTTATGGCCTGTAAAATGCTTCTGGCCTTCAAAACATATCACATGTTGTGGCTGCATTGTCTATAACATCAAACCTTCTAATAATTCTGTTAACAATAATACTGATTAATACTGATTTATGTTTTTAATACATAATTATAAAAATAATATTTATTTTATGACTTTTTATTTTACATGTTTTGTGAGATGGGGACTATATACATATAATGAAACAAACAAACAAATTATCTTCAACCTACCTGAAATATATGACCTAGAAGAAACTTGTAATGGTTACATACTTCTATAAAGTGAGAGGAATGGGGCTCTGTCAGAACCCATTCCTATTTCATTTCTACCTAGCCTCTCTGACCTAAAAACAAATCTCATCTTCCCCTGGGTTCTGCCATACTCCCAAGGGGGAGGGGGGATGTACCTGCGGGGTTATTGCTTTCCCTTCCTCTATTCGCTACAATGTAACCCTTTACTTCATTTATTGCTTGTGTCTGCTGCCGGCTACAATGTAACAATTTGTTTCCTGCACTATATCTCTCTCTGAACTTTCTTCTCCCTAACCTGTCAGCTAGGAAAAGAGGGGGAGAAAGAAATACAACCTTCAGAGCCTGGCTTATTTCTCCATTCTCAAAAGGAGGTATGAAGAGCTGCTTGAACAGCATGCTATGACCGGAGCCGGACTGATGTTATCTCCCCTTTCGACGATAGGGTTAACACCTGGGGATTGGCCGGTTTGAACCGTCTGGATGAACTGTGGGGTGGGGTTTGCTTGGGGACACTTTAAAGTATTGATCTGCAAAGGAATCTCTTAGATCCTGTTTATTATGCCTGCTATCAACCATTTTTAATAAAAGTTCCTGTTGGAGGAAAACATCTCCAAGAGTTCTGCTTTCTTAAGATGTGGGACTGAAGTGGGTCCTTACAGGCTCACAAGCAATAGTTTTACAATTGGAGTACCTGCACTTAGCAACAGTCTGCCCCATAGGAATTTGATTTACCTGCAGGGTTGGCTTTCTGTATGCTGTTAAAAATTAAGCTTCTCATAAAGCATTTAAAATATGAATTGATGAATAAAATACGAATTCATGTTAACATTTGTATATTATATTTTTTGTTTTTTATTTTATAATAGTCATTTTATTACTTTGTATTGATGAAAGTTGCTGAGAATCTTCTTTACTGCAGCAGAGATACATCCAATAAATCAGTAAATAATCCCATAAAAGATAGTTTAATGATTACCATTTACATTTATTTACTTCCTCTCCTTAAAAGTAGTAACAGGTGGTACAAAGATGAGCTGAATGAGGTATGTAAGAAATGTATGTAAATAAGTACGCAGTAGTTCTGCCCCATCCCCCACTGTCATCAAATCCTCCAAAAACATTACCCCAAGGAAATCTTTCTATGAAAAAATGTTCTCTAGACTTAATTTTTATGATACAACTGAATACAAAAAAGATTTTTACCCTCTCCCTTCCAAAATATTTTTTCCCTTTTTTCTAACTCTATATGACCAAAGATGAAAGAAAACATGTACTCACGCCAAATCATTGAAGTCTGAAAAAACATACATATGTCTAAAACTATCAATAGCAATAACAGGACAATCTGCTGGACTTTTCTGAATGTGGAGCAAAGGATGTCTGAACTTGTCGCAATCAGCATGTAAAAAGTTTATGGTACCTTGAAATTTAGAAGCAAATTGTAAGATTTTTAGAGAATGTAATATAAGAACATAAGGGTAAATCACCACAATATATGTAAATATCTAGTTTGGAGTAAAAGTATTTTGAATATACAAAAGTTGTTGATAAGACCATTTTGTATTAACATAAATAGGTTAAATATGCTGTTTAGGAAAACAATGTAATTTTAGTATAGATTTATTTAGAACTAGATCTTCAGAGAATTTTTAAAAAGTTAGTAGGTTGTAATAGCTGACTTTCCATTAAATGTGCATAAGAATAAGCCTTAATTTTTTCAGTGGTAAAAGAGTATTAAGCTGAAATATTATACTAATAAGAAAACACAGTATCAATAATTATCATTCCTGTGCATAAGAGAAAACTAACAGCCTAACACCTAATTCAATTAATTAAAAGACATAATACAATATATATATACATAATTACAGCAAACATCTACCTTTTTCACTTATTAACTGTCGTGCAACTTCCTGTTGGAACCTTTCTAAACTTTCTGTATCGTCTTTCATATGAAAGAGTATAAGGAAAGGAAGACCCTCTTCTGTCAATTCCTATATAGAAAGAAAAATATTAATAGACCATCAATTTTCTACTAACTTTTAGTTAATGTACAGGTTTTAGCTGTATACTCACATACACTCTTAATGAGGGATGAGTACATAAGGGATAAATCAGAAATTAGTAAAATACTATCTCACCAATTTAATCAAAAGTTTTATACTCATTAAAAATAATATAATAAATAAATATAAGGATTGAACAAAAATAATTCTATATATTTACTGATTAATGTTAACTTCCTCAAGAAAACAAAGTTATATATCCTACTTGATATAGAAGTAATCCTCAACTTATAACCAGTCATTTTATTTATTTCATTTATTATTATTTTTTACTCATCTCACTGCAAGGTGACTCTGGGCAGCTTACAATATCAAAACAAAACCATAAGTATACATGTAAATGTATAAAATCACAATAAAATTGCAATAAAAATACAGGTTATAACTCAAAGGCGTTATACTCTTTATACTCAAAGATGGAGAGGAAGAGATCAGAATGTACTGGGGAGGGGGAAGAGGTGGAGGTTGCTCTTAGTCGATCAATGACCTCTAGTTTAGTACTCCCCCATTAAGTCCCCAAGCCAACTGACAGAGCCAGGTTTTCAGGCTCATGCAGAAGGTCAAAAGAGTGGGAACCAATCTCACCTCAAGAGAGCAAGATGTTCTAAAGGAATAGGGTTGCAGCAGAGAAGGCTCTTCTCCTGGACCCACTAGACACAATTCCTTGAATAACAAGATCTGAAGCATATCTCCTCTGCCAGCACCGATGATATAGTTCCTCAAGTAACCTGGACCCATGCCATGCAGATCTTTATAGGTAACCAACACTCTGAATTGCACATGGAAGCAAAATGACAGCCAGTGAAACTTGCAGAACAATAATGTAACATGGACCACTTTAGGAGCTGCAAAGATTGCACATGCCACTGCACTCTGCACCAGTTAAAACTTCCAAATGCTTTCAAAGATAGCCCCATGTAGAATGCATTGCAATAGTCCAAACTGGAGTGACCAAGGCTTGAATGACTGAGTACGGGATTCCTGATCCAGGAAAGGTCACAACTGGCACACAACCCAAAGTTGTGCAAAAGCTCTCCTGCTCTGTTACTGCTCTTCAAGCTGGAATTACAGGTCCAGGAGAACCAACAAATTGCAGACTAGGTCTGTTTGAGATGCAATCCTATCCAGAATTGGTTTAAAATCCCGGATATTGAAGCTTTGTGCACCAAAAGCCATTTGGTCTCACCAGGGTTTAGTCAAAGTCTGTTGTCCCCCATCCAGGCCCAAAAGCCTCTTACGCACTGTAAAATGGCAGCAACGGTATTATTTGGGTATAATAGGGGTAGAGATATAAAGTTGAGTATCATTCGCATACTGATGATACCTCAAACCATAATGACAGATGATCTCACCCAGAGGCTTCATGTAGATGTTAAAATGTTAAAAAGAAATGGAGAGAATAGCCCTGTGACATGCCACAGAAGAGTGTCCATGGGCTGGCTCTCTCACTTCCTATCTCACTGATTTGGACCAGTCTTGGAGAAAGGAGAATGAGCCAATGCAAGACTATGCCACCAGCCACAGATCCCATAGCTGGCCCCCAAAAATACCATGGTCAGTGGTATTGAAGGCTGCTGAGAGGTCACGGAAAGCAAGGATACTTGTACTACCCCAATCCTGATCTTGCCAGTGATCATCCACAAGTGCGACAAATGCTGTTTCTGTCCCATAACCGGACCAGAATACTGAATACTGACTGAAAGGGATTTAAGTAATCCACTTCAACTAGAACTCTCTAAAGCTGCCAAGCAACTACCTTTTTTACCACTTTCTCTAAAAAAGGGAAGATGGGAAAATGGGGCAGGTGGGAACAAGTGATGGGTGTTTGAGGAGGGGGTGAACTAGGAACCACTCTTTGAAGTTACGATGGCTACGGAATGGGTGCTTTATGGCTTGTAAAGCACCCTGGCCACCACTAATGGTCACATACATACTCCACAGTCAGGTGACTGTATGTTGGGCAGGTCAGCTTTATGACTGGTCACAGTGTTCTGCAGTCACAAGACTGTGATTTATGCATTACTTCCGGTGGTCAGCGTCGATGATGGTGGCTACATCGTAGCCGTTCTCCTGGGACGGTGTCAGAACTGCGGAGCACAGCGTATACCAGCTGTCCCGCGGCTCGAAATCCCCCTCCCGGGCGAAGGGAGAGGGTAGAGAAGTACACGAATGGAGGTAGAGCCTCTTAAACCCTCCAGGACTTTTCTTTTTGGGGGGTGAAAAGAGAGCTCCCTCGGAGTTCGTGTTATCTCCGCCTCCCAGCTGTTTTTGCTTCTTTGGAAGCAAAGCGAAACGCCGCTACCATCTCTGCACCTAAAACGATCGGGTGAGTGACTTTTAAAGCGGACAGAGCCGGATAAAGGATTTTACTTACTGAGTTTTATTTGCTTTTTAGTTTATGTTGATTTCTTTTTCTTTTGTTCTTTGTCGGTTTGGAGAGTGAAAGTAAAATGGCGATTTGAAAGTGCCCCCCCCTTTTTTCCCCCCGGAAAGAAGCAAGTTAAACGGAATGTAATGGACTATATAGCTTTTTCTCTTTTAAACTTTCTAAACTTTTTTTTGAAAGTGGTTTTGTGGTTTTAAAGTTTCTTTTGGACTCTCCTTTGCTCCTTTTTAATTTTTGAGGATTCTAGTATTTTTTTTTTCAAGAAGGAAGAAAGAGGGAACAAGATCCTTTTAAAAAAATGGCTTCAAAGAGGCAAGCAGTTCCTACAGTTCCTAAGGTGGTTTCTTCTCCTGCAATCTTACCAGTACAACAACCTAAAGCTACACCACCATCTTCTCCTCCTTTGCCAGTATTATCTGTACAAGATATGAAAGATATAATGGGAAATGCTGTATCCCAAATCAGAGAGGAAATGAAGGAGCTTCTAGATCAGAACAAATCTGAAACTAAAGGGGAAATGAAGGAGTTTTTTGATCAGAACAAAATTCAAATTAGAGGAGAAATGAAGAACCTCTTAGAGCAGAATAATACTATTTTGAGGCAAGATATAGTTACGGCTCTATCAGAATTGGCCTCTGTGGTTGAGAAGCTTGATTCTAGAGTGGAAGAGGTCGTAGACAAAGTTGATATCCTGGAAGATAAATTTGAAGGTATGGAAAAAAAGATGGAAATTTCACAAGATGATATTGTTATGTCTCAGTATAGGGAAATGGAATATGCCCTAAGAATCAGGGGTTTGAAAGAGGATATGAATCAAGATTTGATAGAGATTGTGGTTAATGACCTTGCCATCGTTTTGAATAGGGAGAAAGATGGATTACGTAGAGAAGTGGAAAAAATTTACAGAGTTAACTCCTGGGTCGCAAAACAGAAGAACTTACCAAGAGATGTTGTGATTTATTTTGCAAAGAGATCTCTGCGCAATGAAATCATACAAGCTTTTTATAATAAGAGGTTCCAGATTGCTGCTCAAGATGTTATCATATTAAAGGAGATCCCATCTAAAATTTTAAGAAATAGAAAAGACTTTTCTTTTTTAGCCAATGAACTTAAAACAAGAATGATGCCATTCAGATGGGAGATTCCGATGGTATTGTCTTGAGCCATGCGGGGACGCGTTACAGACTTAACACAGTCGCTAAAGCAAAGGAGTTTTATACTTCGGTCCGGGGAGCAGGCTCATCGTCATCTATGATGCAGAAAGTTCTGGATGCTAAAGATGCGGAACAGCAGTCTGAAGGATTAGGTGTGATGGTTGCTGGAAAGTTACAGACCGAATGGTTGCGACAAACAGAAATCAAAGAGCAAAGAATGACCCGTGCAGCACATAGACGCAAGGAAAAGATACAACAAAAGAAAGAAGTTAAAGAATCTCTCCAAGAAAGTGCTTTGTTGCCGGTGGGAGGAGCAAGACCCAAGAGTTCTGCAACACATTCTTCAATGGCAGACCTTCAGGCAGTCTTCTCCAGGCTTCTGGTTAAGGGAGATGGTAAAGCTCCTGACTTGGAATGCTAACGGCCTTAATTCCCCGAATAAGAGAAAGAAAATCTTTCACTACTTAAAGCAACATAATAATGATATTATTTGTTTGCAGGAAACACATATTTTACTTAAAGATCAAAAATATTTAGTCAATTCTCGTTTGGGATCTCATTTTGTATCTTCAGCTCCTGGGGAAAAAAGGGGGTGTAGTTATTTATGTTAAGCAAAACTTATCAGCCTGTTTGGTAGAATCTGATCCTCAAGGGAGATATGTTATGATTGAAGTTGGTTTATATGGTAAGAAAATACTTTTAGTGGGACTGTATGCACCAAACCAACAACAGGAACAATTTTATAGATTGTTGCATCGGAAATTAACTTTGTTGGATTATAGATCTGTGATATTAATGGGAGACTGGAATGGTGTCTTAGATATACAAAGAGATAAAAAAGGATCTTCCACTACCCAAAGCTTTTTTTGACTTGAAAGAGGACTGGGAGCTGCGAGACTACTGGCGTGAACGCAACCAGGAGGAGAGAGACTTTACTTTCTTTTCAGATAGACATCAATCCTTTTCAAGAATTGACTTTTTTTTTGATTACAACTGATTTATATTTTAGGGTAAAGAATGTAAAAAATTTTCCTAGGACGTTGACAGATCACAGTCCAGTCTGGATGGAGTTGGTTGATGAAAAAGAGGAGAGGAGATCGTGGAGGGTGAATGAGAATTTATTTAGACAAGAAAAGAATATTCAAAAATTAAAAGAACATCTAAAGGACTATTTTGTTTTAAATATGCATAAAGGAACTTCAATGTCAATGGTATGGGATGCAGGTAAAGCCTTCATGCGTGGGATTTTGATACAAATGAATAGTGCTCAGAGACAAAAGCAGATTCAGAAATGTAAAGATTTGGAAGATGAGATTAAATTAAAAGAAAAATCTCTGATTCTAAATCCCACAGACGAAAAGGTTAAAGAATCTATAAAATTGCTCAAAACACAATTTAATATGTTGATGGCTGATCAAACCGCAACTAACTTATTGTATATGAAACAAAATACATTTTGTAATGCCAACAAACCAGGGAGATGGTTGGCTTATCAATTGAGAAAGAAACAGAGACAGAGAATTATAGATAAAAATAAATTATAAAGGTAAATTGGTGTACCAGAAGGAGTTGATCAAGAGATCTTTTTTAGATTATTATCAAAAACTATATAAGAGTACTAATGTACAAATTTTAGATATAAATAATTATTTAAGTGAAGCCAACTTTCCCAAATTAACAGAAGATCAGAAACAAGAAATTAATGGTTTAATTACCACTGAGGAAATTGTGACAGTGATTAAGGAATTAAAATTAGGTAAAGCACCGGGTACGGATGGCTTGACATCTATTTATTACAAAACTTTGTTAGAAGAGATGATTCAACCTTTATGTGAGCTTTTTAATAATATATTACAGGGTTTAGAGATTCCTCCGTCATGGGGCAGAGCTTTCATATCTTTAATTCCAAAAGAAGATCAAGATCTTACTTTACCAAAGAATTATACACCTATATCTCTTTTAAATGTAGATTATAAGATTTTTGCAAAAATCTTAGCCAATAGGCTTATGAGGGTTTTCCACCAGCTTATACATAAGGACCAAACGGGTTTTATAACTGGCAGGTATATGAAGAATAACGTTAGACAAATTATTAACTTACTAGAATACTTAGATAAGAATAACCAAGTTTCTGCAGGACTGATATTTTTAGATGCTGAGAAAGCCTTTGACCAATTGAATTGGCAGTTTATGTTAAGATTAATTGAAGATATGAATTTTGGAGAAAAAATTTTACAAGCTCTTGGTGCTATATATCAAAAACAAACGGCACAACTTATAGTTAACGGGGGCTTGTCAGAGGTTTTCACAATAGAAAAAGGGACAAGACAGGGATGTCCATTGTCACCACTACTGTTTGTTTTAACTTTGGAAATTCTGCTGATTAAAGTTCGAGAATCCCAGGAAATAAAAGGAATAGAAGTTAATAAAAAAGAATATAAACTAAGAGCTTTTGCAGATGACTTGGTGGTTACCTTGTCTCAACCTACCTATTCTGTAGTAGAGTTGTTACAATTGATTTACCAATATGGACGGGTTTCGGGATTTAAAATTAATAATAATAAGACTAAAATATTACCCCAAAATATGACTAATTTGGATAAGCAGACTTTGGTTAACTTGACAGATTTTGAAGTTGTTGATAAGATAAAATATTTGGGGGTTACTTTTTCTGTTTCTAACGCAAAGTTGTATAAAAATAATTATGAAAGGTTGTGGGTCAGGGTACAAAGAGACTTGAAAAATTGGGAGAAGTTGCAATTATCCCTTATGGGAAGAATTGCGGTGATTAAAATGAATGTCCTGCCAAAGTTTCTCTTTTTATTTCAAATGATACCTATCCTAAAGAATGAGGTTAACTTAAATGAATGGCAGAAAGGTATCAATAAATTTATTTGGGCAGGGAAAAAACCAAGAGTAAAGCTTAAAATTATGCAAGATATTCGTGAGAGAGGTGGACTCAAGGTACCGAATTTGAAATTGTATTATGATGCTGTGGCTTTAACATTACTTAGTGACTGGGTTAATTTAACAAATGTAGAAATACTCCACTTGGAGGGTTGGGATTTACTTTTTGGATGGCATGCCTATTTAATTTTTAATAAAAAAGTTGACCGGGTTTTTAAATCTCATATTACAAGGATTTCTTTACTTCGGGTTTATGGGCTATACCTTGGCATGCGATAGAGGGGATAAGGAGAGGAGTTAAGATGGATAGTGTTTCTTATGCACAATTACTCAGATGGGATGGTAAAAATTGGCACTTAAAATCTTTGGAAGATTTAGCACATGAAAATATTACATATTCATGGTTTCAGTATAGACAAATAGTGGATAGATGGAAGATAGATCGTAATATGGGTTTGCTTAGAGAAGATGAAAATCTTTTTAAACAAGTAAAAGACCAAAGACGAACTCATATTAAGAGAATCTATGGGGTGCTAGTAGAACTGGATTCAGAACCAGAACTAATTAAAGAATGTATGATTAAATGGGCACAAAATTTTGGTGAACCAGTTCTACTAGACACTTGGGAAACCATCTGGGTGAGGAATGTTAAATTTACACAAGCCCAGAACTTAAGGGAGAATTTTTACAAAATGTTTTATAGATGGCACCTTGATCCACAAAAAATGTCTCGTATGTATCCTGACTTACAGCCTAAATGTTGGAGATGTGGTTGTTTGGATGCTACTTATTATCATATTTGGTGGTTGTGTAAAAATATAAAAGCTTTTTGGATTAAGATATGGTGGAATATTCAAAGAATTTTTAGAAGGAGGGTAAAATTTACCCCACAATTGTTTTTGTTGGGTATTGTTACTGATTGTGATGTTAAGGAGGTTATACTGATGTTAAATTTAATCACAGCCGCAAGGTTGTTAGTAGGGCAATACTGGAAGAAGGAATCTTTGCCTACCTTGCAAGAATGGTTTTTTAAAGTTTCTTATTTGGTGGAAATGGCAAAGATTTCGGCTTTTTTAAAGGAGCAATCGCAAGAGAAGTTTTTTGCGGTATGGGAAAAATGAATAGATTTTATACAACATAAGTTGGATATAAAAAATATTACTTAGTTTTTCAATAACCTATATATAAATTTTAATATTTTATAGATTGTATTTTTTTTTCTTCTCCTTCCTTATATTTTTTATTTTTATCTCATCTTATTTTACTTCTTTTATATATATATATATATATATATCTTTTCTTCTTTCTTTTCTCTTTTATTCTTTTTCTTTTTAAGTAATTTTTTTTCTTTTTTAATATCTATGTTTTGTTTTGTTTTTACATATATATTATTGTTAATTATCTTATAAGCTTAGGTAATGTATTTAGATATATTAATGGTTTATATTTTTTAAATTTTTTTAAAGATTTTTAGAAATTTTAATCAAGCCTATATTCAGCTCTGGGAAGGTGGGGGGGATGGACTGGGAGGGTTGGAGTGGTTGGGTAGGGTTGTTTTTTTATTTTTTTTTCTCCTTATTTGTAAAAACTTTTAAAAATTTTCAATAAAAAAAAAGACTGTGATTTATGATTGTTCTTTCCAGTTTCCAACATAAATGCCCATTTAAATTAATGGGTTCCCTTAATGACTGCCGCAAAACAAAAGCATGACTGAATTCCCAATCCTAATTATAGTTGTTACATTGAGGATTACTTCTACATACAGATTTCGCAAATTGCTTAGGCAATAGGAATACCACTCTCCTACCCACTCATAAATCCCTTCTCAAAGGAAAAAAATATTTCAAATTGGTCTCTCAAATTCTTAAGTTCTTACTTACAGAATGCCTAATTAATTCAGTGAGAACTCGAAGTTATGACATTCCTGAAAAAAACAACTTTACAACCAATTTCACGAATTCTGTAATCATCATCACAATCAGTGTAAGTTGATCTCTCTACTTTGCAAGGGGGGAATTGTTTACACAAATTGTTTGTTTTTTTCCCCCTCCTCCTCTCACAGAAAGGAAAGATTGGAGTAACAAAGAGAAATAGAGAATATCAGTTACAAAAGATGTTTTTGATGTCTGGAATTCTGAAAAATACTCAAAAAATAATCATAACTAGTTGGTATCTTATACATTGTAAAAAGCAAATAAAGAGCATATAGTTTTCTTCATTTTGTTCATCATTTACATTGCAGCTCAAACATGTCCAGAGCAGCCTTTCTATCTGTAATAAACATTCACACTGGACTTCCAGACGTAACAGACATCATCATCATCATATTGTTCAATGCTTTTATTTACTTGCTTCTGAGAAGAAATTTTCTATTTTGAAGCTCACACAGTAATTTTTGTTAGTTGACAACTTAGGCAGGAAAGGATATTCTGGAAATGCATAAATACTCTCTATATATGTAGATAAACTTAAAATTTTAAGTTCCAAAATACACAAAAAATGGGTTTGATTTATCCATGGATGGGCCTATCTGTGGGTAAATGCAGTAATGCATTTTTATAGTACTCACAGATAAGCCAAATTAAAATTTCTTGAAAATATACCACCAATGGTTAAGCCAATTGTGAAAATTTAAAATCTAATCTGTTCTGGTAAACTACATTTATTGATACAAATGAAGTCATTCAGAACATAGTAAAAATATATACAAAATGTTTGAGAATTAGTTTATCTGTGGGTGGTACATTTTTTATACTACTTTGGTTAAAAATTCTAGAGTTGGCTTATCCTCCAATAGGCTTAAAATAAGTGGCTTTATAAAGTAATGAAAGGCATTTGACACTTAATTTTGGATTAAATCAATTTCATTTGTAACCATTTATCCCTTAAATAAAAGGCCTGAATAACCAGATAGTATTTACCTCTCCATTTTCAAATGTAATTTCACGAACAAGAGGAACACATTTGTCTTGAGTCCATGCATAAGCCAAGTCAAAATTAGTCATAGAACCCAAGTAAACCATATCTGGAGCATTTTCCTGTTAAAACATGATGTTAAAATTAAGCATAAATTAACACAGGAGAAGTAATATAATATTATAATCTCCAAGGGTGAGATGGGCAGTATCTAAATTTGATAAACAAAGTATAACTAAGAGGCTATATCACAAGGCACTAAAGGCATTCTGTTATAAACATTTGTGACCTGTAGCAGCTCATTACAAAATGCTTCCATGCTATGGCCAGCAACAATCAGTAGCAGTATTTCAGTGGCTTGAAAACTCACAGAATCACTCATAGTTAATACCAACACACTATAACAAGTGGGAGAAGGGTTCACTTTATCATACTATTTAGAAATATGTACATTGAAAATCTAGCCTTCTTTAAATGACGCCAAAAACAAATTTTAAAACACTGATATTATCTTAACATACTGCAAATTCTTTGTTTTGCTTTGCTTTTTTTTAATTCTTCTATAGAAGTAAATACCTAAATACAGGAATGCTTGTTACTGGACCTGTTGCATGAATGTATATGATAAGTAGAAATTCTACAGTAGTCTTCATTTTGTTTCTTTTTGGCTTTAATGTTATGGTTTTATTTTGTTCATCATCCAGTGTTTCTCAGATTGATGGATAGTGATATAAATTGAATAAATAAATACTATCAAGAAAATTGTTCAAGAAATTGAATAATAGAACTGATTTTCACAATATTTATTCAAGATTAAGAATAGTAGGAAATATAGTTGAAAATATAAATAATTAGGAAACAGAAGTAAATTGGCAGCAGGTTATAGTTTTTTAATTTCTTTTCTTATGAAGTCTTCATGTCAAAATGCAAATTTCTAAAAGCCCCCAAAGAAAGCTATGGCTTTTTTGTTTTTGTTTGCAGAATAAAAAGGATAAGGAACTTTCTGGATTACATTCTTAATTGTTAGCTAATTATCTGAGGGACTAAGACTAGTCTATTTAGTTATGCCTAAGTATAAATAATTATCTGATTTGCATTCAAGAGATGTGAATAAATACTTTCCAAATCTGGCCACAAACCAAGGAAGTTTCATAATGTATGTCATATATATAATGCTCTGATAAGACCATACTTGCAATAGCGCATTCAGTTTTTGTCATCACAATATAAAAAAAGAGGTTGAGGACTCTAGAAAGAGTGAAAGAGAAGAACAGCAAAGATGATTATGGGACTAAACATATGAAAAACAGTTCATATGAAGAACGGTTGCAGGAATTGGTATGTCTAGTTTAATGAAAAGAAGGATCAGGGGTGACATGATAGCAAGGTTCCAATATTTAAGGACTGCCACAAATAAGAGGGAATCAACCTATTTTCCAAAGCTCATGAAAATAGAACAAGAAGCAATACATGTAAACTAATCAAGGGGAGAACCAGCTTAGAATTAAAGAGAAATTTCCTGATAGTTAGAACAATTGGAATGACTTGCCTTCAGAAGTTGTGGATTCTCCATTAACTGGAGGTTTTTAAGAAGAGATTGGACAACCATCTGTCTGAAATGGTATAGGGATTCTTGCTTGAGCAGGAAGTTGGACTCCAAGGTCCCTTCCAATTCTGTTATTCTGTTCTTTTTAAAATTCCCTAATCTATCAGGATAGACACTGAATGACACAGAAGGTGTCATTCTTTGACATGTTTTTTTTTTAAATGTTACAGTAAGGAAGATGAAATCACTGCCATATGTAATCAGTTGTCCTTGTCAGGGAATGGACAGAATCAACAGACATTGTTGATAGGAAAAGATTCAGTCATACAATTTTAATTTAATATTCCACCCATTAATGGTTAGAAAATTTATTGCTCTTCTCAGGAAGCAATGCATGGTGCAGACTATAGCTTCTAAAAATAAAGGAGTCAGTGAGAAGATTATGATCAGGGAATGTGTAAAATGCACATAGGGATGTGTAAAATGCACCATTCAGGTAATACAATACTTGTTCTTTCTACAGACTGAACTAATATAGTTACCCTAGAAATGGTCTGATTGTTTTCCACAAGGTATTTTTCAACAATGAAGCATTCTATGGTATTTCAAATATGTATCTTGCCCCCATACAGATCTATTCCATTCAGAGCACAAGCTGCTTCTAGTTTAGAGGTTAAATAAAAAAAACTGACCATCTCAGAAAATCAGTTTGCTATCATTAAAAAAAAAAAAATTTAGAGTTCTCCAGAACGTTTCATTTCCTCACAGTTGGGAAATATACGCTTAATAGTTGTAACCACATTGCAATTTCCTTGGAGGGGACTGTATTGAAAACTTGTCTTATTTATCTAGCAGCTGTTGCATTTTATTGTCTCCTCAAATTTGCAAATATTACCAATTAGAGCAAAGATGGTTTGTTATATTTGCAAAGGTATCTATTTTGTTTGAATAACTAACCCTGTTTTTTAAAAGTATTGTATGTTTTTAGATTTCTGATTTTCTGGGAGAAACCTGCTTATGATTAACCATATTCTACATGTCTGAATTGTAAATTAGAGTTTATATGGAAAACAGAGTAGATGTCAGAATCCAATTATATTTCATCTTTAATTATCAAATATAGAAACTCCCAATTCTGCCTTCTCTGGATTCTGCCATAAGAGGGAGAGAAGGGGGAGAACAAAGGGGCTTTATGGCCCTCACTTCCTTCAGTACACTTCAAAGAGCTGAATGCTGAATGTGTGTTTATTGTAACCTCAAGCGTTAGCATACCAAAGAAGGGTATTTGCCTTTCATGTAGTTATCTGAAGTCTCCATCCAGACGGAAGAAAGAAGAAAGGGGGTGGAATTGTGATACTTGAAACTATCACTGGAAGGGGGGTTGATTGGGTGGGACTACTGGGGAACCCCTTAAAACCTTGAATGGGAGAGCTTGAACCCCAAGTCCTGTCTAGCATGCCTGCAACCATTTTCTCTTAATAAAGGATTCCTGTTGGAAGAATTATTCCAAGAGTTCTGTCTTCTTAAGATGCAAAGTGGGGTGGGTCCTTACATTAGACAGGACTTGCAAAATTAATCCACCTGGAAGGGAGACCCTTGCCGGGGGATTTTGCAAAAATTTACCATGTCAGACAATGGAGCAAGAGAGGGGGAAAACTCCCTGGAAAGAGAGCCGCTGACCCAGTTGGAACCTTGCCAGATGTTGGGATCCGAGAGGCCAGATTCCTCAGGAGAAGAAGTGGTGGAGACACAGGACCACAAGCCTCGCTGGTCGATGGGCGTTGGAAAGAAAAGTGAGTGGGGAAAGGAATCAAGAAAGGTGACCCTGAGACGGGGGACCAAGCAACCAGAATGGAAGCAGGAGATGGAGAAATCCCTGCACGCAAGTGAAGAGGGAGGAAGCTGGGCACCGTACTCAGACTGGATCCTAGAGAAAGCTATTGACCTGATGAAGAGAACTCTCAGCTCCCTAGGAGAGGAGAATACTGAGCCCTACGGCCGCCCCAGTTCCTGGAGCCGCAAAGGGAGAGACACCGAGGGGGACGTGGAACCTGCAACCCCAGGGACATCTACTGATCCAGGAGCCCCCACCCCCTACCGGACCACAGATGGCAATCTGGACACACTACCACAACAGAGGCACCGATCCATTCCAAGACGTCCACCGTTGGAGGTGAAATTCAAAGGGGAGCCAACACGCTTGGGGTTTTTCCTAACCCAAGTCCTCAGCTACATGGAGGAATATGGGCAGGATATTCCCAGCGACAAAGCCCGCATCCGGATCGTGCAATCTGCCCTGGATGGACCAGCTGCGGATTGGGTAGTGAACTTGCATGACTCCAATGCCCCAGAACTCAGTAACTTCAACCGTTTCATGTCCTCTTTGAGAAGACGATTTGAAGACCCCCTGGCTGATCGCAAAGCCCGTGAAAGAATAACAACGATGAGGCAAGGCAAACGCCCAGTGGCTGAGTATACACAAGAATTCCGGGCCATTGCCAGCAAACTGAATTGGCCAGAAGACATCCTCCTTGGCCATTTCAAAGACGGACTAAACTATGATCTATATGATGCTTGCCTGCCCCGAGGGGACCCACATCGACTTGAGGAATGGTACGTCTTGGCAGAGGAAGCAGAGATCGACATATTGAAGAGGCACCGCCGAGGAAAACAATGGAGCCGCCCCCCGCCTGAGCTGACACACCAACCGGTGAAATCATCGGATACAGCCAAGAAGCAAATGGAGTGTTTCAAGTGCGGAAGAGAAGGGCATCGAGCTGTAGAATGCCGCTCAAAGGCCCCCCAGCACAACCCAGACAGATCCCCAATCAACAAACCCAGAAAGTATTCAGCTAAGCCAAAAGAAACAGCCATGAGAATGATGGAAATTGCAGAAACCCCCACCTCTGCTCACCAAAGGGAAAGAACTCCTGCCTACACCACAGGGCCGGTGGATGCCTCAGATGACAGCTCGGAGGGCGAACAACACTTCGAAATAAAAGAGATCCTTGACTCTAGAAGATATCATGGAGCAACTCAGTACCTAGTTGCCTGGAAACACCTCCCTCCCTCACAAAACGAGTGGGTCCATAAATGTCATGTCAGAGCCCCGAAGCTATTGAAGAAGTTTCACACAGAGTATCCTAACAAGCCTGACTAAGTCTTATACCTGTTTTGTTTTCTTTCAGGTGAATCTCTCTTATTTTTAAGAGGGGCCGGATGTCAGAATCCAATTATATTTCATCTTTAATTATCAAATATAGAAACTCCCAATTCTGCCTTCTTTGGATTCTGCCATAAGAGGGAGAGAAGGGGGAGAACAAAGGGGCTTTATGGCCCTCACTTCCTTCAGTACACTTCAAAGAGCTGAATGTGTGTTTATTGTAACCTCAAGCGTTAGCATACCAAAGAAGGGTATTTGCCTTTCATGTAGTTATCTGAAGTCTCCATCCAGACAGAAGAAAGAAGAAAGGGGGTGGAATTGTGATACTTGAAACTATCACTGGAAGGGGGGTTGATTGGGTGGGACTACTGAGGAACCCCTTAAAACCTTGAATGGGAGAGCTTGAACCCCAAGTCCTGTCTAGCATGCCTGCAACCATTTTCTCTTAATAAAGGATTCCTGTTGGAAGAATTATTCCAAGAGTTCTGTCTTCTTAAGATGCAAAGTGGGTCCTTACAGTAAGAAGAAATAACTTTTTTGCAATTTCACATTATATAATTACTTGGATGAAAATGGCTTGATTTTGTTTCTAATCCAAGAGCTGGTGATAGTTTACTGAAGGTTCTAGGATTCAATCACAATGCCAGCCAAAAAAATGAGTATTGCGTGATAGGAAAATTGGGCACTACCATTTGATGGATAAGGGTAATCATTCTGTAAGCAACAGAGAAGTTAACATTTTTTTAACAACATGACTATGACTTGAATTAAAGTATCAAAAATCTTTAAAAAGGTATCAACTTTTGGATTCTCAAAAATCAATCCCTTATACTACGATGTCACAGCAAAAAGGCCTACCATAAAGTGAATGCTTCAAAGATTGGTAATATAACTCTTGGGAGTTTTCTTTTTGGAATGAGATCTATCCTTTTGGTGTAAGAACTCTGTCTAATTATAGAGCAGTGGTTCTCAACCTTTTTAATGCCGCAACCCCCAACCGGTCGTAAGTCGAGGACTACCCAACCAATTGTAAGTCGAGGACTACCCAACCGGTCGTAAGTCGAGGACTACCCAACCGGTCGTAAGTCGAGGACTTTTCCCGGGAGCGCCGCACATGCGTGGTGCCGCCCCCTGCACTGGCCGAGGCGTAGCTGGCAAGCGGCAGAGATGGAGCAGGCCGACCACTGGCTGGGCCACCAGCTGGCCCAGCCCAAGGGAGGTAAGGCGCCTGCCAGGCCCCACGCGCACCAGCAACCCTCCCTGTGCCCGCTGGCCTCCCACCTCCCACCCCTGGCCCTCTTTTACTTACATTTTTAGTAGTTGCTCAGCAGGGAGGGGTGGAAACTTCCAGACAGCTCGCCTTCGCTGCAGACAACTTGCAGCACCGTTTGCAGAATGGGACTTTTGGCAGGATCAGCAGGGCAGAGACAGCCTGGACAATTCCTATTGGCTTTTGAAAGCCAATAGAATTAGACTCTATTCAAGAGAGTCTATTCTATTGGCTTTCAAAAGCCAATAGAATAAAAGGGAGTAGCACAGCTAAGGAAAAGGGGGAAAAATGGCGGACTGCGTTGTTTGGCGACCACCCGTGAAATGGTCATTCGACCCCAAATGGGGTCACGACCCACAGGTTGAGAATCGCTGTTATAGAGTCTGATGCTCTGAATCTGAGAAACTCTAATATCAGTTTTAGTTTCTAGGATCCAATTGTTAGGACCAAATTTAAGTTCAGAAACTAACAAACTAGACCTATAAAATGATTTAGAATAAAAAAATGTCCTGCTTTAAATAAATTGCCCAAGGTACTGACAATGGCCCACAAGAAAAAACAGAGTTGTTCAGTTTAGTAATCTGGAAATGCTGCAAGTATCTACTAAAACAAATCTTTTGTCTGTAAGCAGATAAGACCAGAGAATTTTATTATATGTGCAAGTGTATTGTTTTAATTAGTATATTTCTGAAAGAAAGCCTTCAGAGCCATACAGTACCCCAAGATTAAAAAAAAATCTATTAAGAAAATAATAAATAATTAGAAATGAACTTAAAAACTAAATAGATACAAAAAAATCTAGAGACTACTTCAGTAAAAACTATTAACTGTAAGAAAGACTTTTTTTGTGATTCTTTGGATAGCTGCAGAAAGCCATGAAGTATAGAGATCAAGAAGAAATATAAATGAAATATAAATAATTATTTGGAAGCCTAGAAAATGCTACCTATCTGAGCAAATTATACCTGAGTGCTCAAAAGCCCGTGACTTTTGGAACAAGATAAAAAAATGACTGGAAGAAATACTAATGATAGAGGTAGAGTTAAAACCAGAACTTTTCTTACTCGGCATAACTATGCACAAATACGACAAAGGGATATTTTACTTGATGCTACATATTCTCACGGCTGCTAGATTGGCATATGCACAAAACTGGAGGAACAAAGAAATTCCAACAGAAGAAGAGATTTTATATAAAATCTTATTGTGTGCTGATATGGATAGGCTCACAATGGAAATTAAGGACAAGATGGAGTCAGATTACTTTGAAATCTGGGACAAATTCTATTGTTGGTGTGAATCAAGGAGAATTGTTCAAGTTTTAAATTAGTGTTAAGATAGAAATATATAAAATTATATGTTAGTATGTGGAGAAGCAAATTAGAGACTGTATTGTATAGAAAAATATGTATATATAGAGATTAAGAATTATATGTATGATGAGGAACAAATTGTTAGGAATATTTACATTGGAATGTTACGTTACATCCATCTTTGTTTTAACTATATTATAAATAAAAAACTTTTAAAAAAAGAATGAAATCCAGTTATTAGCATCATATACAGGTAGTCCTCAACTTACAACAGTTCGCTTAGTGATCATTTGAAGTTACAACGGCACTTGAAAAAGTGACTTATCACCATTTTTCACACTTATGACCATTGCATCATCCCTATGATCATGTAATTTACATTTGGATGCTTGACAACTGATTCACATTTAGGATGGTTGCAGTGTCCCAGAGTCATGTGATCTTTTGCAACCTTCTGACAAGCAAAGACAATGAGGAAACCAGATTCACTTAATAACTGTGCTACTAATTTAACAATTGCAGTGATTCAGTTAGCAAATGTGGTGAGAAAAGTCTTTAAAATGGGGCAAAACACGCTTAATAAATGTCTCATTTAGCAACATAATTTTTGGGGTTATAAGATGAGGACTACCTGTATGCATAATTTTAATGATTTGGGCTAATTTTAAACATTTCATCAAATTTAATAGGTAGGGGAAAAAAAACTTACCCCTGTTGGCTTATATATTATGTTGTCCCCACTAAATCGTTCTGGTTTGGAAACAGACCTAAGGATTAAAATAATTTTGTTCTTACTATTCTAGGGTACAAAATAAGAAAATAAATACTGGAATAGCAACAAATCTTTAGTCACTGGCTGAACTCAGATATCATGCTAAAGTATCATTTATTTTAGCCATCATTTTAATTTAATTGCTTTTCTACCCCACACAAGGATATATTTATTCAAACAACACATCCTGATTTGATTATTACTCTAAGTGCTAATTGCAGTGAACAGACCAGTTAATTAAGTTTAAAACTCTAGTTTCCTATCTGAAAACACAGCAATGGCACTTAGACTTATATATTGCTTCTCAGTGCTTTACAACCCTTTCTAAACTGTTTACAAAGTCAGCATATTGCCTCCAATAATCTAGGTCCTTATTTTACCAACCTTGGAAGGATGGAAGGCTGAGTCAACCTTGAGTTGTTCAGAATCAAACTTCTGGAGTGAGCAGTGAGTTAGCCTGAAATACTGCATTCTAACCACTGCGCCAAGCCACCACAAACATAAGGGCTCCTCAATTTCTCTGCCTCCTAGGCTGATTTTCCAAGGTTGAATGTGTATAAGGAAGATACAGATAATAGTACTAGGGCTGCTGTTTTATGGAGAGACTAGTTTCAAGACCAAATTTGAAAAATATATTTTTTAAAATTGTTTTCATACCATTGTTAAAGAAAGGATGCTAATATAAAACTTTCTGGAATCATGTGTTAATTCATAAGGATAAAAGTTATATTTTCAATAATTAATATACTTATATTTAATCTATTGCAATTCATATATTTAAAAAGCTTACCCAAATGCAGCTAGGAAGACACAGTCATCATGCAAAACACTTGCTACTCTTTCAAAGTTCCTGTAATTATCAGAGTCTTTTTGTTCAAAATAGCCAATAATGTTTCTTTTACTGCGCTGTAACACATAAAACATACATAACACTCTAACTCACCCTTTAAAAAATTAGTATTTTCATTAATTCTATAGTTCTTTAAACAGAACAGATGATGTCTATTAGAATCAAATGTAATATTAGCAAAAAAAATCATAGTCCAGGATCTCAAGTACACCCTTGTAACAAAAAATGTGCAGAGAATCTTGAAGGTATTAATCTTATTAATAATAGTTATTTTATCCATTTTGATTAAGAACCTATATTTTCATCAAAATAATGTTTTACATGTGTCTGTGTAGAAGATATCCATTTTCATTTATGAAGATTAAAAGGGCTAAACAGAACTTTTTTTGAAAATGCTAACAAGCTGGGGAAATGGTTAGCATATAGACTGAAAAAAGAAAAAGAGAAAAAAACTGATAAATAAACTGCAAGATCCCAAACATGAATTACAGTTTCAAAATGATACAATTAAAAAAAAATATTAAGGACTATTATGAGATACTTTATAGTGCAGAGGAAATTCCAAAAGAAAAAATACGGCAGTATTTAAAAAAAGCAGACTTACCAAAAATTTTAGAGAATATTCAAAATATCTTAAAAGGAAAAATATCAATGATGGAGATTATAGAAGCTATAAAAAGGCAAAAAAATGATAAAACTCCAGGTCCAGATGGATACACCTGCAGAGTTTTATAAATTATTACAAGACATATTAAGTCCTATTTTGAAAGAACTATGTAATGAAATACTCCTGGAGGCTAAAATATCAAATACATGGACTGAAGCCAATATTACTTTAATACCCAAAGAAGACTCTATAGATCAATATCACTATTAAATGTAGACTATAATTTTTTTTTGCCTCAATAATAGCAGAAAGACTAAAGAAATTTTTGATCAAATTTATACGTTCAGACCAAAATGGTTTTCTACCTAAAAGACAGATAAAAAATAATTTAAGAATGATTCTTGATGTGTTAAGAGTATTATGAAACTCATCCAGGGAAACAGATGGCTTTAATATTTCTTGATGCACAGAAAGCGTTTGACAATGTAAACTGGTAATTCATGTTCCAGCAACTAGTGGAAACAGATTGTGGAGAAAACTTTATAAATGTAATTAAAATAATTTACTGTAAACAAACAGCCAAAATAATTGTAAATGGAGATTTTACAAAAAACTTTAACATTAAAAAAGGTACAAGACAGGGATGCCTACTATCTCCATTATTATTTATACGAACACTGTAAGTATTGAACAGAAACATCAGACAAGATATAGAAATTAAAGGACTGGAGATAAAAGATGAAAAATATAAACTACAAGCATTTGCACTTGGTTTTTATATTGGAAGATCCACTGGAAACAAGCACTAAACTTATGAAGAAAATTGAAAAATTTGAAGAAGTGGCAGGATTGAAAATAAACAGAGAAAAGACTAAAGGGCTAACAAAGAATCTAACGGAAAAACAAAAAAACCAACTAGCAAAAAAAATGCAAATCTTCAAATAGTTAAAAAAGTTAAATATTTGGGAATTTACCTAACAGCAAGATGTGTAACAATAAAAGAAGATAACTATGTAAGACTGCTAAAACAAATAAAACTGGACCTGGAAAAGTGGAAAAACCTACAACTTTCAATGCTGGGGAGAACAGCAACAGTGAAAATGAATATCTTACCAAAAATACTCTTTTTATTTCAAACAATTCCTGTAAGACTGGGAAAAGTCTTTTTTGATGAATTGAATACAACAATACTGAAATTTATCTGGCAAGGAAAAAAAGCTAGAATTAGACTGAAAATGCTACAAGAAGGGAAAGAAAATGGAGAGTTTGGACTGCCCGATTGGATATTATACTACCAAGCAACTATTTTAAGATGGGTTAAAGAATGGATAATGCTTAGAAATAAAAGACTATTATACCTAGAGGGGCATGACCACAAATTGATTGGCATGCCTTTCTGTGATATGGGAAGAATAAAATACATAGATATTTTCGAAACTGTTTTATAAGAAATGCACTTCTTATATAAATTTTGCATTAAGATACCTGGATGGCTTTCAACAATGGAAGCTTTTGATTACCCAAATTTAATTAATTATGATAAAGTTGTGACCTATAAAGATATCTTGGACAATGAAGGAAAATTGAAAGACAGACAAGATTTACAAGAACAAGGTATTGATTTATCATGGTGGCAAATCAAAACGAGATATGAAAAAGATGCTAAAATAATGGGATTCTATAAAGAACAGAGAGAATTTGACCAGATACCGTTAAAACAGATGAAAAGTTGATTAAGAAACTCTATAAATAAACTTAAAGATGGAGAAAGAACAAGTAAAAGAAACAATGATAATATGGGCAAAGAGCTTTGGATATAATATAGAATTAGAAGACTGGCAAATATTATGGGAAAGAAATGTCAAATTAACTAAAGCAGTGGCATATAAAGAAAACTTATTTAAAATGTTTTACAGATGGTATCTAATACCAGTGAGATTAGCAAAAATGTTTAAAAATACTTCAAATAAGTGTTGGAAATGCAAACAAAGACCAAGTACTTATTACCATATCTGGTGGACATACCCTAAAAGCAGTGTTTCTCAACCTTGACAATTTTAAGGCATGTGGACTTCAACTCCTAGAATTCCACAGCCAACAATGCTGGCTGTGGAATTCTGGGAGTTGAAGTCCACATGCCTTAAAATTGTCAAGGTTGAGAAACACTGCCCTAAAGCAAAAAGATTTTGGTTAAAAATACATTTCTGGTTGGAGAAAATAACTAAAAAACAAATAGACTTTAAGCCAGAATTATTTTTGTTAGGAATAATAGGAGCAAATTATGAGAAAGATTGTATATATTTAATTTTACACGTACTAACTGCAGCAAGAATTGTATTTGCCCAACAGGGAAAAATGAAAATTTACCAACTGAGGAAGAATTAAGAAAATTCTTAGAAATGGATAGATTGACTTTAAAGATAAAAGAGAAAGAAGACTCAGTGTATTTTAGAACATGGGGTAATTTCTGTCAATGGCTAGAAAAATGAGTTAGAGAGAAAGGAATGTGATATGTAACTTTGAATATATATTAGCAAGGAGACTATCGAGCAATTAACATATTGTTGATGATAATTAGCTATTGTCTATTATTGTTTGTTAAACACATGAACCCCGACATGACGCTGTTTGCTAAATATTGAGAATGTTATTGAAAAAATCCTAACCCCAACCCTAACCCAGGGGTAGGCAACCTCGGCTCTTTTATGACTCATGGACTTCAACTCCCAAAATGGCTAAGGAATTCTGGGAGTTGAAGTCCATGAGTCATAAAAGAGTCGAGGTTGCCTACCCCTGTCCTAACCCAAATCCCAACCCCACCTCATTCCTAATCCTATAAAAACTAATAAAACTTATATACATAAAAAATAAAAGAGTGACTATAGAATTTATACAGTAGATAAATGTCTATCCAAATATATTTTTGGGTTTGAAACACACATAAACCTCAAGATTCTCTGCATACCTATTCACATTTACAGGAGTCCATGATAAGATTATAATGACTATTTGTTAAAGGTATACCTCATTTCTTTAGGAATCAGGACGGCAAGTCATATTTAATACTCCTTTTATTTTTTCCCCATGGGAGAGAAGATTGGTTGGATAGAGAGGGAATGATTGAGTTTATCTTTGATTGCTGATGGTAGACTTAAATCTGGCTCACCTCTGTCTTAATCCAGTCCCTTGTCCACTTTGCCATGGTGGCTGTCCCCATCCATGACTACAATAATTTGGAAATTTTAGCACTACAAATTATATGACTAATAAGTCTGGTTTCATGGCAATGTAAATCACATAACTAAAATTATTCTACAATATTTGCAATGCTACCAAGGAAGATATTAAAATTAACATTAATTTTAAAAACATTTTAAAAGTTTAAAATATTAAAAGTATTATAACAGAGGTTATAAGATTTCTAAACAGTCTTCAACTAAATGAGAAAATAAATATAATTTGCTAAGCAGCAAACATACATTTTCCAATTTATATATGGCAATCAACATACACTTATATGCATACAAACTCACATCAAGAGAGTTAATTTCTTCCAAGCTTAGTACTTCTCTAATTGGATTGCTTTTCTGTTGCCGGATATAATCTGCTATTGCTGTCACTGATCTTTGACCTCGATACTCTCTCTTCATCATCATCCCATTCCGGAACAACTTCAAGGTTGGGTATTTACTTATCCTATACCTTTGAGCTATGTCAGCTGAAAAACAATTATGAAGTATTTGAAAACATGTATATTCAAATGTTATATACAATTTAAAAGGAATCAAAATTACATTTTCTCATCTTTTAAGAAAGATAGTGGCAGAAGTATTTAAAGTTTGTTCCTTTAACCCCATTTATTTACAAACAATGAGTCTGTTAAAACCTCTGTTTTTTGTACAGTGCATACTTTTTCTTCATGGTCACTTCAAAACTCATTCATTCCTATTTTTTAATTGTTTGCTTGAACTATAAACAAAATAATGGTTAATAAAATGCACTAGTCAAAGCAAACCTCCAGGCATTGATCCCAATACCAAAATAATAAAGTACTTTTTGCCAATTATGGAAAGAGAAGACTTGTAAGGAGTCCTTGGTATTTTCTGAGCTTGACATTTCCTTGTAGACATTTCATTACCCAAACCAATCATCAGTGTTCTAAAGTAGCATACACAAAAGATATTACTTGGATTTCCTCCTCATACATGAAGAATATTTTGAGACAACCCCACTAAAGTTAGCTCCAGTCTTCCTCTTATAAGACCACTGATAAGGCATTAAGAAACAGAGTTAAAGGTTTTACTTATTTTACAAAGCATTATGATAAAGTTCATTGGATAAAGAACTCCTTTAGAGCAGTATTTCCCAATATTTTTTCTCTTGTAACCACTTTCTGATCTTATTTTTCCCCTGTGGCCCCATTAAGGTCCCATTATCCAATACAGATAAGGTACAGTAACTGGTGTTTTTTCTAGTGTCAACAAAATAGTATTTGTAGTATAATATAGTAGTAGTCCTCAAAATATAACTGGTTGCTTAACTACCATTTGAAATTACAATGGCCTTTGAAATGGATCTTTATGGCCCATAAGGCATTTCTAGGGTTTTGTCTATTACTGCAGTTATGTGATTGTTATCTAGGTGCTTGGCAACTTGTTCACACATTGCCAAGTTTCCAGTTGCCGAGCACCCTGCATTCATATGATTGCTATTTGCAATCTTCTCTGCCAACTTTTCCACAAAATCCATGGAGAAGCAGGCAGGAAAAGTTGCAAGCTGCTGCCATCTTCTGTCAGGGAAACTCAGCTCCAGAATAATAGAGTTGGAAGAAACCTTGGAGGTCTTCTACTTCAGGGGTCCCCAATCACTGGTCTGTGAACTGGCACCGGGCCGTGGCATGCCAGAAACCAGGCTGCGCAAACAAGCAAAGCCCCATCCGCAGGATGCAGGCACAGTACATGAAACCATGCCCCTTCCAGTCCACAGAAAAACCTCACTCTATGGAACCGGTCCCTGGTGCTCAAAAGGTTGGGGACCTCTGTTGTAGTCCAACACCCTGCTCAAGCAGAACTTATAACATTCTGAACAAATGGCTGTCCAATCTCTTCTCACTATCATGAAATTTGTCCTTAGTTCTAGGTTGCTTCTCTCCTTGATTAGTTTTCATCCATTGTTTCTTGTCCTGCCTTCTGGTACTTTGAAAAATAAGTTGGACCTCAAGAATCAATGATTTGAAGGACTTGTGGAAAATATATTGCAATGGCTTCAAGGATGGCTAGCTAGAGACCTCCGTAACACAATCTTGCAGATTTTCTTAAGGTGTCCAGACAACTCTCACTTCCATGTTGAAGAGCAAGCAGAAGCATGTTCTTATATGTCCTTTTGCTTCTTTCAATAAACATCCATTCCTCACAAAAGAGAAAATACCTTTCTACCAATTACCTTTCTACCAACACAATTCTGTCCTAAAATTTCCTGATTTCTCCATCTTTAATAATAGAAATCCATCTTATATATCTAATTTTTCCTGTCCCCAGTATTCCTGTAAAACATGATTTATCTTGGTCTTTTATTATATTTTCAGGTTCTTATTCTTACTGCATCTGCATCACGCAATCTATCTAACATTCACTACAAAACATTCTGATTCTCAACCAAATCACAGCATTATCTGCATTTGGTATCTCAATTAACACACTCTCAATATCACTATTGGCATTCCTTAAATATTTATCCATAAATATATCAAACAACCAAGGAAACATCATATATGCTCATCTTATTCCCATCTCAATAAGGAACCATTTGCCAAGCATTTTATTTATTCTTATGCACGCTTTACTTCAATCATATTGCCTTGAGCACCTACCCTTCAGACTTGAATCCATAATTCAAACCTAATTAATTCTTCATACATTTATAAGGCCATGGATGTGATAAAAAGCAAAAGTATGAGGGATACACTCCTGAAATAAAACTGTACACAAACTCTCCATGTTTTGTTTTTGTGATCCATTGTATCCTTCAAATCAGAATTCTGCCAAAGCTAACAGCCTCCTTACTTCCAACTAGCAGGCACAAATTCATGTTAAACAAGTATTAAACAAGTTACATAGCCATACGTATAGCAGTGAGCAGCATTCTGAGTTACTGTTCAACTGTTTCTCCCACAAGAATGCACTGAGGATTTTTATTTAAACAATTCAATAATTTGTAAGTCACCTAGAGTCATCTTGTAGGGGAGATGGACAGCATAGAAATGTAATAAATAAATAAAATTAATAAATAACCTTGACAGCTTTAGGCCATTTTAAAACTCAATCTGGCTCATTTTAACAGTTTTTTTTTTTTTTTTGCATCATCCCAAATTGAATTGTATCTACTTTTATTTTCTGGCAGTTATCCTGCTGATAGGCAGGCAGATTAATTCCTGAGCCTTCTTGTAATATTTTCCCAACATTCCATTGGGATGAAAATAATAAAAAAGTAATCTTCCACATTTTTGGGTTTAATAAGATTAACTTTGAGGTGACCTCCGGTGGCGTTGTTCTGTGCCGATGGCGGCTACTTTGTAGCTGTCCGCCTGAGTTCGTGTGAAAGCCGCGGTGAAAGGGAAGATCAGCCGTCCCGCGGCTTAAGCTTCTCTCCTGGGCAAAGGGAGAGAGGTGAGTTTTCTTGCCTTGAGGATAGTGATAGAGCTACTATGATCTCGAGATCTTTTCTCGGGATCGAAGGGTGAGCTCCCATGGAGTCCTAGGCAAACTCCGCGACTCAGACGCCTTTGTTCCCTTTTTTTTTCGGGGGACGAAGCAAGACGCAGCTCCCACCTCCGCAACTTATGTGAACTGGTGAGTTAACTTTGAAAGTGGACAGAGCTGATCAGGGGAATTGATTTACAAGTTTAATTTGAACTTTAACTCCTGGAAGAAGAGTTTCTTTTGTTCTTGCTATAAGGGAAAAGTAAAATGGCGATGAGATGTTTTTTCCTCTCATGCAATTTTTTTTGATTGTTATAAAGTGGTTATTTTTGGGACCTTTAATGGCTGCATGAGAATGGTAAATATATTATCATTTCCCTTTTTTATTTATAATTATAAGAGGGTTTTTGTTCCCTCTTTTTTTTTTCTGGTCTTCTGGATTTTTTCTTTGGAGAAAAGTTTTTCTTAAGATGGCTTCGAAGCGTCAAGCAACTTCTGCTGTGCCTAAGGTGGCTTCCTCTCTGGCAATACTTACAGTTCAACAACCTAAAGCTAGATCACCACCACCCTCACCACCGGTACCATCACTTACGGTAAAAGATATTCAAGATGTTATGGGTAATGTTGTATGTCAAATTAGACAAGAAATGAAGGAACTTTTGGAAGAGAGAAATAGAGTTATGAGGGAGGATATAGTAATGGCTTTGCAAGGACTCGCCTCTGTTGTTGAAAAGTTGGATAATTGCATTGAGGATGTTGTTGATAAAGTGGATTTATTAGAAGACCGTGTTGAAAATGTGGAAAAAACAGTGGAGACTTCACAGGATGAAATTCTTATGTCTCAGTATAGAGAAATGGAGTTCGCTTTGAGAATCAGAGGCTTGAGGGAAAATATGCAAGAAAATTTTGAGGGAGGTGGTGGCAAATGATATTGCTGTGATACTTGAGAGGGAACCAGAAGAGATATTGAGGGAAATAGAGAAAATATTTAGAGTTAACTCGTGGACTGCAAAGCAGAGAAATTTACCAAGAGATGTGGTGGTTTATTTTGGAAAAAGATCTTTATGTAATGAAGTAATACAAGCATTTTACAACCAGAGATTTCAGATTGCTTCTCAGGATGTGATAATTTTGAAGGAGATTCCATCAAAAATTTTAAGAAGGAAAGATTTTGCCTTTTTATCAGAGGAACTTAAAAAATGGCAGATGCCATTTAGATGGGATATTCCAACTGGAATTGTGGTGAGCCATGCGGGGACACGTTATAGACTTAATACAGTTGCAAAGGCAAAAGAGTTTTATATGTCTGTCCTGGGAGCTCGCTCACCACCACCTTTATGTTTTAAAGCTCTTGATATGAAAGAAGGAGAGCAACTGGCTGGAGATGCTGCATCAATGAAAGCAGGAAAATTACAGGTTGTATAGCAGTCTGCTGAGATGAAAAAGCAGAGAATGACCCGTGCAGCTCATAGACGAAGAGAAAAAGAGCAACATGAAATGGGCATAAAAGAGCCTACTCAAGAATCTGTTTCTGAGCCTGTGGGAGGAGCAAGACCTAAGAGATCTTCGATTCGATCCTCGATGTTAGATCTTCAAGCAGTCTTCTCCAGGCTTGCAGCTGGAGGAGATGGCAAAGCTCCTGACCTGAAATGTTAATGGCTTAAATTCTCCTCAGAAACGAAAGAAAATATTTCATTATTTGAAACAGTATAATAATGACATTGTTTGCTTGCAGGAAACTCATATTATTTCAAAGGATCAAAAATATTTGATAAATGCCCAATTGGGCTCTCATTTTGTATCTTCTGCTCCAGAGAAAAAAAGGGGGTGTTGTTATTTATGTTAAGAAAAATTTGTCAGCTAAATTAATAGATTCAGATTCTCAAGGAAGATATGTTATGATTGAAGTGGTGTTATATGGAAAGAAATTGCTTATAGTGGACTTGTATGCTCCTAATCAACAACAAAAACTGTTTTATAAGCTTCTACTTGATCTCATTGGATTATAAATCAGTGATCT